GTCCCTATCTGTAAAGTTAGACCTCAATAAACTGGGTTTTCCAAAACAACAACAACAAAAAACTCACAGCAGTATTATTCATAACAGCCAAAATAGAGAAACAACCCAATTATCCAGTAGCAGATGAGTGGCTAACAAAAGATATGGTATGTGGATCATATCTCAATAAAGTTTTGATGAAGAAGGAGAAGACATAGAGGACAAGGAGAGAAAGAATCCAGACCTTTGATTACCCAGTGGCTGGATCTCTCCAAAACGGCTCAAGTCTATTTTTCTGTTGGGAGGTGTGATACAGCCCAGTGGTTACAAGCAAAGGCTCTGGAATAAAAAGGAAATGAGCTGAGATCAGATAAGCTTAGAGAGAGTGTACCTTAGAGAGACTGCACCTTTGCATCAGTGTCATTATATTATTCCTTATGGAATGATTCCTGGAATTTGGATAGTTTCCTAAGAATTCTCTAATACAGTGGTTCTCACTTCATTGTTTCACTTGTTGAAATACATGCCCTGAGCTCCACCCACAAAGGGGATCGGCAGCTCTATATTATAAGGTTGTGAGGAAGATATGATAACCCAATTGAAAATACATGGCAAACTGTGTAGTTGCTAAACATACATTCTTTGCCTCATTAGAGTAAAATATATGTAACAAAACATCTGCCATTTGAATCATTTTAAGTGAGATTAATTATATTCAGGAGTACGGAAGCTCTGGAGTATAAACGCTAGACTATGAACCACAAGATTGGAGGTTCAAGCCCACCAGTTGCTTCATGGAAGAAAGATGAAGCATTCTGCTTCTACAAAAATTTACCGCTTTGGTAATCCCATGCAGTGTAGCTATGAGTCAGAACCCACTTGATGGCACTCATCAATAACAGCACCACTAACCTTAATTAAATTTAAGGACCCCTAGTGATGCTGTGGATTAGGCATTGTGCTGCTAAACAAAAGGTCTGTTATTCAAACCCACCAGCCTCTATGTGAGAAAGATGAGGCTGTCTGCTCCCTAAAGACTAAGGTTTTAGAAACCTGAGGGAACAGTTACCTGGTGTGGTGCTGTGGGATAAAGCCCTGGTCCACAAGGTCGGTTTGAACCACAAGGTTGGCTGTTCAAACTCACCAGCTGCTCCTTGGAAACCCTATATAGGGTCACTATAGTCAGAACTGACTTGACAGCTCATAACAACAACAACTCACTATGAGTTGGAATCAAATCGACTTGATGGTACTGGCATTTGTTTGTTTGTTTAACTAAATTTATATTCATAATGACTATATGAGCCATTCTCTGAGTCCTCGGGAAGGTCACTCAGCAGCCTGAGCAGTTTCTGCAATCCCCCGAGACACTACATGAGTTTGGATGACTTCAGCCCTGGATAAAAGGAATCTGCACCCAAACTGGCCTGAACTACAAAGATGTTTGTAGGGACTTCACTCATGATAGCTCTAATTGTTAAGATGAGAGGCCTGCAGAGAGTAGGGAACCAGGGAGGATCTGAAGACCACTGTTAAATAAATACTAACATAAGTGTTCACAATGATTTCATTGTCTCTTGGAGCTCATTAAGGATTGTGCTTAGTTTTAAATCACCTCAAGAATGCAGGATATATCTCTGGAGCATCAGAACAATTCATTAATAACATTAGAGAGTTCTGGCTGCACATAAGAATCATACAGGAAGGTTTTAGAGGATGTTATTGCCAGCAGATCTGTGTTGGAAGAAGTACAGCCAGAGTGCTCCTTAGAGGCCAGGATGGCCAGACTTCATCTCGCCTACTTCAGACAGTAGGGACCAGTCCCTAGAAAAGGATGCCATGTTTGGTAAAGTGGAGAGTGGGAGAAAAAGAGGAAGACTCCAACAAGACGGATTTGCACAGTGACAGCAGCAGTGGGCTCAGGCATAGCAATGATTGTGAGGTTGGCTCAGGACCGGGCAGTGTTTTGTTATGTTGTACATAGGGTCACTATGAGTTGGTACTGACTCAATGGCACCTAACAACAACAACAACAACAACAACAACAACAACAGCATTACCTGAGTCTCACCCAGAGGATTCTAATATGCTTAGTTAGGGGTAAGGCTCAGATACGCATGTTTTATAAAACTCTCCAGGTAGTTACAAATCTGAATGGTAGCCCTAAGCTTGGAGGGCTCTGGCTGCCAGTACTGGAAGATACAGTTAGTGAGAGAAAGATGGTACTAAATCAAAGCAGATGTCTATATACCTGTTTGACCCAGGGCCTCATCTCCTCACTATAGTAACCACTATCATTAGAGCAAATTGCACTCTCAAAATACACACCCACCCACCCCATACAGGAACATATACCACCCTCAAAATATGCACACAACATACCACTAACACATGCACACATGTAGTTGATTCCTACATGTGATTTTCTCCTTCAGGTTTACCTTGATATTTAGTCTAGTCTGCATGTGATATGGGTTGAACAAGAGGTGGGATTTTACTGCATTCACATTCCTATAGGAGATTCAGTGCACTGGAGTCAATTCTGACACTTAGCAACACTACAGGACAGAGTAGAACTGATCCCTACGGTTTCTGAGACTGTAAATCTTTATGGGAATGAGGTAGCCTCATCTGTCTCCTGTGGAGTGGCTAGTAGATTTGAACTATCACCCTTTCTGTTGCAAGCCCATCACTTAACCAAAGCACAACTAGGGCTTATTTCCTCTAAGAAAATGGTTGTTAAACTTTGATGTGAATAAGAATCATCTGGAAAATGTCTTTATTTTAGTGTAGATTTCTGGGCTGCTCTGGTAGTATAGTGGTTACAAATCAGGCTGCAAATCTCACGGTCAGCAGTTCGAAACTACCAGCTGTTCCGTGGGAGGAAGATGAGGCTTTCTGCTCCTGTAAAGATTTACAGCCTCGAAAACCCTGTACAGGATCACTATGAGTCAGAACCGACTCCGCAGCACATAACAACAAAAATCATAATCAGTTCCAACTCCTAGCCACTCTGTATGGGTTTCCAAGGAGTGACTGGTGGGTTTGAACCTCAGGTCTTGCCATTACCAGTCCACTGCTTATCCTACATGACCATGCAAGGACTCCTGTTTTAGTGTGGATTTATGGGCATGCCCTCTAAACTTATGATTGAACAGGTCTGGAAGTCTGCATTTTATGAAGTTGAATATGAGTGTCTGATATAGTTGGTCTACGAGCACAATCTTAAGAAACTTTCTTAAGGACAACCCTGATGACAAATGGAAATACATGTACTTCAGAGACTCTCAATGGGTTCAAAAGATTTAAACAAATCACATTACTAAAGAAGGGGTATGGATGGAAAATAAGCACATGAAAAGATACTCACCATCATTCATCATTAAGGGAATTCAGATCAAAACCACACTGAAATATCACTACATATCTATCTATTAGAATGGAGTCCTAGTGTGACGCTGTGGGTTAATGCGCCAGATTGCAAAGCCATTTGAACTGCAAGGTCGGTGGTTCAAGCTCACCAGCTACTCCTTAGAAACCCTATATAGGGTTGCTGTGGGTCAGAATCGACTCGACTGCACTTAACAACAACATCTATTAGATTGGATTTTTTTTTTTAAGAAAGCAATTTTCTGTATAGATACACAATGGTACAGCCACTTTGGAAATCACACTGGTAGTTTCTTATAAAAGTTAAAGATACTTTTATAATTTAATCCGGTAGTCCTATTCCTGAGTGTTTTCCCAAGTGACATAAAGATGTGCTCACACAAAAGCATGTGAACTGATGTCTACAGGAGTCTTTTTTCATAATTACCCCAAACAGGAAACCACCCACATATCCTTCAACAGGTGAGCCGATAGACAAACTGTGGAGAATCCATACTATAGAATACTACTCAGAAATAAACATTTAAAAAAAAAAAAAAAGAACCACTGATACACACAAATACCATGGATGAAGCTCAAAACATTTGGCTGAATGAAAGAAAGATGCAAAACCTACAAATCATGTGATTCCATTTATTAATATTCTGGAAAAAGCATAACAGAAAGTAGATCAGCCTGGGGCTGGGTGTGGGGTGAAAGTTTGACTCTAAAATGGCATGACTAGATTTTAGGGACTGATGGATTTGTTGAATGTCTCGATTGTAGAGCTATTTCGTTGATTGTATGCTAAACATTTTAAAGGTGACATTCTACGAGCTGTAAATTATTCCTCAATAAAATGAAAATTCAACAAGAAAGAAAATGCACTGAAATGTAAAAAGTATAGTTATGCAGATTAAACCCCATTGCATAGCAGAGAGCAGAGAACAACTTCCAAACTTGGCTGGGTCCATTTTCAGCAGCTCCAAGGACACTTAGGTGTATGGATAATGACCAACTTGTCTGGCCATGGCCCACATGCATCTCCATTATGCACTGAAGAATTCTCAGAGCAACCCTATAAACTGGTATACCCATGCTTACACTCAACTATTATAAGATGTTGGGCTTAGAACTTACAGGAAACCAGGCATCCAGCCGAGCAGAAATCTAAATGATTCTGTTCCTCATTCTGTTATTTTAGTGTTTTGAAATCATTCTCTGGATATATTTAAGGCTCTGGCAGGATGGTTTGGGAAACAAATAGAGGGGTTTGCTAGTGGGGAAGGTGACAGATTAGGGTGGGGGGGGTGAGAGGTGAGGGACAGATGTGCTCCTAATTCCTTTTCCAAGGTGGAGGTTTCTAAGGGTGTATGAAGGCAGTTTGCTTTTATATGCTCTCTGCAAAATTGCCCTTCTTCCAGGGGAGTTTCTTGAATTTGCATGTTCCTTACATGTTCCTAGAATTCCACCTTAAAACAAGCTGCATGTACTTGTGGCCAACATCTCCATGCAAAAGTTTTGCTTAAGAGATGACACACTGCAGTTGGAGTCTGCTCACCCACATCTGGAGGCCACATGTCAGGGGCAGCTGTATAAAACAGCCAGCCCTGCAAGCCCAGGCTGATATATCTTGCCAGAAGCCAGGCAGCATGGACCTCACTATTCTGTGGGTGCTTCTGCCACTGGTCACTGTGGCCTGGGGCCAGTATGGTGACTATGGATACCCGTACCAGCAGTATCGCGACTACAGTGATGACGGATGGGTGAATCTGAACCGGCAGGGCTTCAGCTACCAGTGTCCCCATGGGCAGGTGGTGGTGGCTGTGAGGAGCATCTTCAGCAAGAAGGAAGGTTCTGACCGACAATGGAACTATGAATGCATGCCCACACCCCAGAGCCTTGGGGAACCTTCGGAATGCTGGTGGGAGGAGATCAACAGGGCTGGAATGCAATGGTAAGGGGACTGCTCTGCACTTGAGCTGGGGACACCTCAGCACAGCCCATCCCTGAGGGCTGCTTGACCTTTGGAGACTGGTGGTAACCCTGTATAGGGTTTCCGAGGCTGTAAATCTTTTCGGGAGCAGAAAGCCTCATCTTTCTCCCATGGAACAACTGGTAGTTTTGAACTGCTGACCATGAGGTTAGAAGCCAAATTCGTAACCACTACGCTGACTTGTTGTTGTTGTTGTTAAGTGCCGTCGAGTCGGTTCCGACCCATAGCGACCCTGTACAGGGTTTCCGAGGGTGTAAATCCTTACGGGAGTAGAAAGCCTCATCTTTCTCCCGCGGAGCGGCTGGTAGTTTCGAACCGCTGACCTTAAGGTTCGCAGCCCGACTACGCTGACTAGTGGTGCTTAAAATCTGAGCAAATCCTACTAGGAGCTTTACTATGCATGCTCAGAGCAGAGCAGGGCTGCTGTGGTATGGAAGAAAATCAAAACAACCAGGCTGGGGAGTGTTCAAGGGAGATTCCTCTGTTCTTTTGTCCCTTTAGAAGCTGCCCTACTCTAAGTTTTGGTCCAGGGACTGGGATGGTTCTGTAAATTATTTATCATCCTGTTATAAAATAAGTATGGAATGAGAACATATTTTTAAAAATTCTATGGTAATTTAGCATTGACATCTGTCTTTGTTATCTAATGCTATCTATTATAACAGAAATATTACAAATAGGTGACTTTTAAAGTACAGAAATTTATTTTCCCATAGTCCAGGAAGCTAGAAGTCTGAATTCAGGGCCCTGGCATGAGAGCAAGATGGTGTGTCTGCTTGCTCTGGGGGAGATCCTTGCCGCTTCCAGCTTCTGTAGCTGTGCCACCTTCCCCCCCCCCACCCCTCTGCCCTCTACCTTGATTCCTAGGTAATCCTCATATGGGTCTATTTTCCCTCACATCTGTGTGCTCTTCTATGCCAAGCCTGCTCTTTTTTACAGCTCAGAAGTGATCATGTGTAGGGCACATGGAGAATCACAGTGTGTCAGACACAGTAGGCTAGCAGTCAACAGCTGCTGATACAGCCTCATTAAAACAACCAGGAAAACCCAGTTCCCAAATAAGATTATAGCCATAGGTACAGCAGTCAGAGAGTCCTGTTGTGGCACTGTAGGATAAGCACTAGACTGCTAACCACAAGATTGTCTGTTTAAACCCACCAGCTGCTTCTCGGAAATTCTATACAGGGTCTGTTATAGAAACAAATGACATTTTAGTTTTATAGTAACTTACTTTTATTGTTTTATAAAAGTATCAGTTGGCAAACATTTGAGAACAAAATCAAACAACTGACCCCACTCCATAAAGAGTTTGAAAAATACTAATTTAGGGCAAGGGAGTCAGGGAGAGAGGACAAAGAAAATTAGGCAAAGACACAAGAAATTGCTCGGCTGTCTCTATTAAACATGCTCTCTATTATGAAGTCTGGATTTAAAATGGGTTCAATGCTGGCATAGTTTACTAAAGGCTTTTAGAGACAGGTGCCCTAACTGAGCTTTGCCCAAGTCAATGACACAGAATTAGTCAAACCCACTCTATCCTGTGCTCTGTGACTGTCCCAGCCAGATCCTAGTACAGTGTCAGGAGCCCATCCCAGTAGCCAGTGATTGTTAGGTTATTGGGCCTTCCATTTTGTGACTCACCATTAATCTGCTCTGAGAGTGGAAGGAAGGGGAGAGTTCACTGTATCTGGTTGAGAGCTGTCTAGTCCTTCCACAGGACAAGCCAAAGCCCCAGCTGCCATCAAATCAACTCCAATTCATAGCAACCTCTTGTGTTTCAGACGAGAACTATGTTCCATAGGGTTTTAAACGGTTGAGTTTAAAACCCTATGGGGAAGTAGATCATCAGTACTTTGGGCCCAAACCTCTAAGCTTTCCATTAGCAACTGAGTGTGTTCAATGTTTGCACCATCCAGAGACAGGACAAGACAGGTTGTTGTTGTTAAGGGCCTGATTATTCTTGGAAAACTGGGTAGACTCAGGCTCCTGGGGGAGACAGGTCCAGGAAGCAGGCCCTTCCAGTTAACATGTATCTGTGAGCAACATTCTAGTGGGGTTCCAGCAGACACTTAGTGGATTGGGAGAATGGGTAAGGCATAAAACCTTGACATTCACTCAGTTAGCAGACAGAATAATTATGAGCCTGAAGAAAAAGATACTAAGTAACGGTGGAAGGAACCAGGCTAGAAAGGAATCCTCTGAGAAATTTAAAAAATGGCTACAATTTGTGGAGCACTTACCCTGAGCAGACATCATGCTAAGTGCTTTCTGTGCATTATCTTGGGTAATGCTCAGAACAACTCTAGAAGTCAATTTATAAATGGACAAACTGCGGCTGCCTCTACCCAGTATGAGCTCGGAACCACAGGTGATTTTCTGTCAGCAGATCCAAGGCCATAGTGCAGGTCTCCAGGAAGTTCTTCACCCTGAGAGAGAGTGGGATTGATAGGATCCCTGGAAAGATGGAGCCAGCATGGTTACTATCATGGGAAGAGAGGTCACACAAGCGAGGGCTGCTTTGATCAGTTGCTTGGACTTTTGTTGGGGCCTCTTCACTGGGCCCCTCTGCCTCTGGTGACAGGATTTAATTGTCTAAAATCCCTTCTGACAGACGGTTGTCTGACTCAGAGTGTGGCGTGCCAATGACCATGTGGAATAAGTCAGGCTTGGAATTTTTTAGTGAGGCAAAGCTGCAGAGTGATGGAAGGAGCTCTGGTCTTGTAGTGTTAAGGGAAGCTGGACTCACCCAAACCTTCTGTTTCTATGAGTCTTAGCTCTGTGGCCTCTTAAACACTGGCTTCCTCATCTGGCAAAGGAAGATAATGATGCCCACTCCACAAACTGTTAGAGGGTGTCACTCAGTAAAAGAGTATAAGGGAAAACATCGGCCACATCACAGACAGTCAATAAAGGTTTTGTAAATCCTGGATTTGATGAAGCCAATCTAGGTTCAGCCAGCTCTAAATGAAGTCTGAATTTAAGAGAAAGACTTTTCTGTTTATTGGCATCTGCTTTTTACCCTGGGCTTCAAAGGATCCCAAGAAGACGTTTAAAAATGACAACTCTTGCTAGAGTCAACTATTTGAATTTATGAATTCACCAAAGACCAGTCCTTAGTCTGAGAAGAGGAAAGAAATCTTATCTCACTGAGCTTTGATAGCATCAAATTCAATTAGAAGCTGGATATGTTGGACAGGAAATCAAAGTTTCCATAATTTGACTGTAATTAATACCAAGGCTCCGTATAGTGCTGAGTAGGCCCTCCTGATCTATGATTCTGAGTATTCATTACACACAGCTCTTACATGTTCAGCATGGTCTTCCCAGACCACCACCTCTAAGCCATTTTCCCCACCCTCTATGCTCTCAACCTGCTTCATGTTTCCTTGAGTGCACTTGCCATTACCTGGTTTGTAGTGGGTCATTTGGAGTCATGATGGGGCACTGTGGGTTAATGCGCTGGACTGCAAAGTCAGTTTGAACCCACAAGGTTGGTGGTTCAAGTTCACTAGCTACTTCTCAGAAACCCTATACACGGTTACTATGGGTTGGAACCGACTTGACAGTACTTAACAACAACAACATTGAGTCATTTAACATTTGTCTTGACATCAAATAAAAGTTTCATGAAGGTAGGTAATTTATCTCACTCATCATTGTACCCCCATGCCTAGATTAGTGCTTGGTATCTGTTGTTGTTAAGTGCCATTGAGTAGGTTCCGACTCATAGTAACCCTATATAGGGTTTCCGAGGAGCGACTGGTGAGCTTAAACCTCTAACCTTGCAGCTCAAACTGACCTTGCAGTCCAACACATTAACCCATGGTGCCTTGGTATATGAGGGCACTTCAAAAAATTCAAGAAAAAAAAAAGGAATTAAAAGATAATAGAATTTTTCCATTCACTTTTTGAAACCCCCTTGTAGAAATAACAAACAAACAAACACACAGCAACAATGAACCCGTTGTTCTCTGCTGCTGGTGACCCATGTGTTAGAGTGGAGCTGAGCTCCGTAGGATTTCTTTGATTATAAACTTTATGAAGTGTCTCTGAGTGGAACAAACTGTTAAATACTGAACTACAAGCCAAAATTCTGGTTGTTTGTTTTAACCCACTCAGAGAGATGGCTTGGAAAGCAGGCTTGACAATCAGAGTTACAGCCTTGAAAACCCTATGAAGCGCAATTGTTCTCTGCAACACACAAGGTCACTATGAGTAGGTGTCAAGTCAACAGCATCTGACTTGGTTTTGCTTAAGAATCTTTATGAAAACAGACTGCCAGGCCTTTTTTCTGCAGCACCACTGGATATATTCCAACTGCCAACCTTTTGGTTCACAGCCAATTGCAAATGGTTCATCCCATCCAGTCATATTTGATATATAGTGGTAGTGGTGGTGGTTATATGCCACCAAGTCAGTTCTGACTCATAGCGACCTTGTATAGCATTTCTGAGGCAGTGAATATTTACAGTAGCACAAAACCTCATCTTTCTCCCTCAGAGTGACTAGTAGTTTCAAACTGCTGACCTTGTGGTTAGCAGCCCCGCTTGGTAATCCACTACACTACCAGGGCTCCTTTTGGTGGTGGTGGTAGTGGTAGTGTGTCGTGGAATCGGTTCCAACTCATAGCAACCTTGTACAGTGTTTCCAAAGGCTGTAATTCTTTATGGGAGCAGAAAGCCTCATCTTTCTTCCACGGCTGGTAACTTTGAACAGTAGACCTTGAGGTTAGTAGTCTGACTCGTAATTACTACGCTCCCAGAGCTCCTTGGTATATAGTAGGTCCCCAATAACTATTTAATAAAACAACAAGTCAAACTTACAAACTAGTGCTTCATTCCTTCAATCCCAGGCAGTATCAGTCCCTACTTCTCTCAACAAAGAAGCTTGCAGATTTTCCCATTGGGGATGCCATCCTGTTCACATCTTTGACTCTCGATATTTACTGCCTTTATTGACTG